GAAGAGGAGCGCCCTGAGCGGAGCCGAGTCGGGCCATGTGGGCACCGGCGGTCCGGTGACGGCTCCCACCCATCACTCAAAACAGCTCAGCCACAAGGTCAGCGCTGTGATGGGAGTTCTGCACCAAACAACAACGTTCCCTTGTGTCAGGGGACCCGGCATCTCTGTAGAACCACAGAACTTCACCTTTCATCCTAAAACTACAGCTCCTGCCAGGCGGATGTTGCTGTTCGTCAGATTATGATGAACTGTTTGCCGCCTGACTGCTGGACAGCTGCTGCAGTGCTCGTCATGTGCTGCTTCAAACCATCCGCTCATACCTAGCGTGGGGTGTGCCGTCTACCATCTAAAGTTGCCAGAACCAACATCAAACTGTTCCATGCAAGCTCCCGACTTCTTAACTAAGCAGTTGTTGAGCTCTGCACACCGCTGGGAGCGTCTGCCGCTGAAGGGACCCGGCCAGATAAGCTGATAAGCCGGTCGGGGGGAGGCGGAGGTGTTTTGCTGCTCGGGAGGCAGCAGGTGAGCGTACGGTCAGGTGAGAGTCAGGGAGGAGACTCCCCGCACACCACCGGGGGACCGAGGAGGAAACTCAACGGGAGTCTACGCTGTCACACGGTCATGGAAACGCCACAGTGCAGGCGGTATTTTAGGAGGCGGCCGGGGAGCGGCGCCGTCCTCCGGGACTCTGGGAGCTGGAACTGGAGGCGCCGATGTGGAGTTAAGACAAACAGGATGAACTGAGAGAAACACCAAGTGACACGAACATTAACAAACACTCGACTAGGAGGCTGAGGGGAGATCTCACAAAGACAGATTTAACTGGATGCTACGAGCCTCATAAAAACACCACAGCTCTGCAACGTGACGCTGTGAGCTGCTGGTTCGCATTAACCTGTATGAGAGGAGTTCAAACTGAAACCCCTGAAGTGTCACTAAAATCTAAATATTCTGTATTTAAGGAACAAACAGCTCCAGCCGACTGACGAACATGTTGTGTCTCAACAAAACCACATCTCTTGTTCGGATGAACACAACGGTTAGCTTTGCTTGCTTCGGCCGTCTCTCACATCAAACAGATGCTCTGGTAGTGGAGATATGTCGCATTGAGGCCGGCCTTCAAAGAGCTCAGCATTCAGTCGGTGAATACCTCTTTTTTTTCAATAACAACCCTCTGAAGTGACCCGTTGCTCTCATCTATAGACAAACCCATGAAGGGAACCGCAGACGTCTGCAGCAACACGACGGCCCAAAACATGAAGAAATGGGCTTTCATGAGAAAATAGTCCAATGAATCCTCTAAATAGACCCACTGAGAGGCTGTTTGTTGCTTTCACTGGCATTCACAAACTCAATTTATGTCAAAAGGCTGCATTATGTGACAAAAACAAAGACAGATGATCGACTGTAACAGCTGCATGTCAACAGGAGCTGAAAGTACAGTTTTAGCTCATTTTAATTATTAGGAACAAGATGAACCTAAAGTCACATTTAACCAGCAAAAAACGTGTAAAAGGAACCACATAGCAACCAGTAAGAGCCGGTTTGATTATTCCTGTCATCGAGTGCTGCTGCGACACTCTGAATGCAGGACCTTGAGTTTGAATGGAGCCTTTCTGTGTGTCACAGGTCTGGGAAGTAAACTGTGAACGCTTCCTCCACAGCACGGCGGAGGGACAAAGAAAAATGAGACAAACCTGAGCCTGAGTCAGACGTTGGAGATCGACGACATTAAATAAAATTCACTTTGGATCAGCCTTCAAAGGGAAGGAAAGGTCTGGTTCTGCTCGGCCTCCAGAACTTCTTCAAATCCTTTACTTAAGCAGCTGCAGCGACGCCACACGATAACAGAACACGTCTTACAGCTGGGATTTTACTTCCATCCATCATCTCTACACCATAATCCTCACCAGGGTCATGGGGGGCTGGAGTCTATCCCAGCTGACTCAGGGTGAAGGCAGGTTCACCTGGACAGGTAACCAGTCTATCACAGGGCTACACTTAGAGACAGACAACCAAGCACACTCACATTCACACCTACGGACAATTTACAATCACCAATTAACCTCAGCATGTTTCTGGACTGTGGGAGGAAGCCGGAGAACCCGGAGAGAACCCACGCTGCACGGGGAGAACATGGAGACTCCACGCAGGAAGATCCCGGGTGTCCTCACCGGGACGGCGACCTTCTAGCTGTGAGGCCACAGTGCGAACCACTGATCCACCGTGCAGCCCCTCAACACAAGTACTAGCAAGCAAATACACAAAGTCATTGTTACTGATGTATAAATGCACGTGGTGCTGGAGATGATGGAGGGATTTCCACAGCTTCATGTACTAGCAGGGAGTAAAACGTGTCATAAATGTATTTCATAAATGATCCTGTAGTTTGTATTTGTTAAATAACTGTAGTGGAATAAAATGTGAAGTATTTGCTGCTGAAATGTCGAGAAGTGATGATAAAATGTGAATACTTTTGACCCAAAGTCATTGTATTTAACAGCAGTCTGTTCCTGTTATGAGCTGGTAAATGGATATGTCTACTTTGTTTGTTTTTACCTGTAATCTACAAAACAAGCTACGATTCATGCGTTTTAAAATAATGCACGTTACCTCCTCAAAAACGTGTTTTCTGATCAGTTTTATAGAATCCCAACAACACAGACGTATTGATCCTCCGGCCGCGTGTCGGCTTCAACATCAAAAACAGGCTTTTTTTCTTTCTACCATTGAAACTGCAGCGCTGCACACACAACGACCACACGGGATGCAAAATAAAGATGAAACTCCAAATAAACGTGATAAACTAGCAGCAGTCCTTAAAAACAAAATGCATGTCAGGATTAAAAATAGAAACAAGCTGACTTTAATGAGTACAGAAAAGGACTTTCTGTACAAGGACCTGCACACTGTGGATGTAAATCAAAGTAGTGAAATGGGCACGAAAGCCACCTAAAAAGTACTCGAGTACCTGAAGGAACGTGCTTCACACTTCATGATTAAACATTCAAAGTGCTTATTGTCATGTGTGCAGGATGGAAACGTGCCTCGCTGTCATATGAACGTCTGACTTTGCTGAACAATATGAATCTAAAGATCCAAACCTGAGCAGCTCACTGGGCTTCTCTGAGAAACTGATCCAGCATCACATCCAGCCTAAAACTAATGTTTCTGTTCAGGAATGTGAGTCAATAATCTGACATCTGGATCAATAAATAATAATAATGAGCTTTACTAGTTTTTTCTGTTGTTTTTTTTGTAAAACAGTAAATTTGTAAATTCATGGATAACCATAATAATTATATTTTAGCATTAAAACATGATTGTGGTTAAAGATCTTCTCCATGCTGGTGTCTGAACAGAGACATGATGACTGATGGAGGACAGCTGTGGTGTGAACCTGCTCAGTGCTTCAGTGTTGATCACTACATATAAATATAAATGTTAAATTAAGTCTTTGTGTTCACAGCGGTTCTGATGGAGCAGCATGACATTAACGGTTAACCGTCCGGACTTACCGGTCTTCCTCCTGGAGCTCGGTTTCCCTCCGTCCGAGTCCTGCCGGCTCAGGACCTCGGACAGCGACTGCCGGGAGCTCTGGCGCCCGGTCTGGCCCGGCACGGTGAACCGGGCGCTCTTCTTGGTGACCCGGTCGGACTCCGGAGCGGACTGGCTCCTCTCCGGGTCGTGGCTCTCCGGCTCCGAGCCCACTTTGACCAGCGCGTTCCTGGTCCGGGTCAGAGCCGAAGTCACGGAGCCCATCCCCGGCAGCAGGTTCAGGCTCCGAGCTTCATCTCTTCTTCTTTCTTCTTTTTTTTTTTTTTTTTACTGAAAACCTGTTCAAACTTGGCTCCGGTCCACGGAACCAGCTCCGGTCCACGGAACCAGCACCGGGGGAAATATTTAAATTGAAAAGTGAATAAAACGTTCAGCTGTAGATGTCATCTCTGGAGAAGTTAGGCGGCACCGAGCCGTGACACCGGATCAAGCGCCCGGAGCGCATCCCGGCTCCGTCCCACCGGCTTCCTCCGACCGACGCGTCACGTGCGCAAAGTTGCTCCGTCGACAAACACGCGGACCTCCCGGGACAGCCGCGCGACAACCGGCGACTTTAAGGAACCCGCGAGCGTCCCGGGTTACCGAAACGAGCAGGGACACACCTGCGCGGCCTGGAACAGGTGAGAACAGCGACTGTCTGCGGACCGCCACACACCTGTGGAGCCCCTCCGTCCAAGTCGCGTCTTGAACGTATCTGGGGGAAATGATCGCGAGATTTGGAGGCCGGCAAGTAAATTTAAATGTGATTTTTTTTTTTATTCTCGTGGCTACTTGTGGTGAGACGCAACCTGCAGCTGCACCGACCACCGACAGATGGCAGTCAAACAAAGCAGGTCCAAGAACTCAGGTCCAGCTGGACGATCAGCTGCTGGTCTGAACTCAGTGTCAGTGATCGTGTTTTCGTGCTGGTACAGTTTCATATTATTTGGACAGGTCCTGACTTCCAGCTCAGGTTCGTGACGGTTCTGGACTTTTTAAATCATTTCACTTCTGCAAATGGAGTTCACACAATTATCACAGAACTGTGAATGTTTAAGTTTAACTTTTTTTTCTCCCCGAGTGCTTTAAACATTCACACTGAGTTCATCTTGGAAACACTGATGAGATCATTTCTCCTGGAGCTGAACTAAACCTGAACATGTGACACTCACTTGAATCGTTTCCTCATCAGGCGAACAAACAGCTGTCTCCTGTGAGAAGAACACCTTCTCGTCGTTCCTCTCGGTTTCTCTCACTTTGATCCAACGGTGACACAAATCAAATTAAACTCGTGTATCCCTTTAACAAAGAGCCTCCAAAATCCCACCGACGTCACTTCCCTGATGTCAGTCAGGACGTTTCCATTACTTTCCACCTGCAACAATCCACTCATGTACCTTGAAAACAACGTCTAGTGTTCAGTACTTGTGCTGCTTTATGGCCATGACACGCTGCACACGGTGTGAGTTACAGTCTTGGTTGTTTATTGCTGCGTACAGGTAGTTGTGACATCTTTAGCATACAGGTTCTACTGGAGAGTGCATGCCGTATCGATCCAAAATACTACTTTGGTTACAAAGAAAGAGTTTTGTAGCCCTCGGTGAGGGCTGCTATGTTGTGCTGATTTCATTGTCGTGTGTCTAAACAAATATGACAAAATACTTTGAGCAGAGGAGGAAGCAAAATACAGTCTGTGTCCACTAACAGGCTAACTGGATCATCACATAGAAAGGCACTTTTTGAAGCTTTTTGTGTGTCGGCGTGTTCGCTTGCTTTGTGGCTCCAGGGAAACGTGTTTCTTCATATTGCTTTTGTTGGTTGGTTGGCGGAAACACAGGCGTCATTAGTCCATGTCGTCGTGGTTCTGGGTCGACTCGTTGATCACCTGCAGGAGGAACAAAGGCGATGAGCAGAGGTACCGGAAAACAACTCAACCGATGGAAAAACCACTTGGCGTGTGCTCTACCTGACCATCCCTGGTTTCAATGGTCTTGATGAGAACTTTCTTGGTGGTTGTTGTCTCAACATGGGGTTTGGAGTCCATCATCATCGTTTCTGAGGAGGTAAAACAGCGCGGTGTGTCATTGTGTTACAGTAATACTGGCATTTCTGGACTGAAATCAACAAACCTCTCAGGTTTAGAGATGAGAAGTTTGGCAGGGGGGTGGAGATCCTACACATGGAGACAGCACAACCCACACATTAATGTCTGCATCTGAACCTAGTGACACATCTGTCAGCTGGAACTATCAGCCACCTGCTCTCCTCGCCCTCCAGCAGCTTCCTGTAGGTGGCGATCTCGATGTCCAAGGCCATCTTGACGTTCAGGAGGTCCTGGTACTCCCGGAGGTGGCGGGCCATCTCGTCCTTCATGTTGTGGATGTCCTCCTCCAGGCGGCCGATGGTGTCCTGGTAGCCGCCCGTCTCCAGGGAGAAGTTCTCCTCCACCTCCCTCAACTGGCGCTCCAGGGACTCGTTCTGGGACGGCAGGAACAAGAAGACGGCGGATAGGAGATTAGACAGAGATGTTTTACTGTCTGCTGTGTCAGAGCTCACTCTGCTTATTCATATATGTGTGTTAAAGACACTGTTTTTCTTTGTTGTTGTGCCAGAATCTCGTCCGCCGCCGTCGAAGCTGCAGCTGCATACTCACGGTTCCTTTGAGGGCGTCCACCTCACAGGTAAGCGCTTGAACTTGGCGTCTGTAGTCGTTGGCCTCCTGCTTGGCCACTCTCAGGGCATCGTTGTTCCTGGCTGCCGCTTCGGTGAGGTCAGCAAACTGACAGACAAACAGAGGGGAGGGACGGACGGCAGGAGAAGGAAGGAGAAATCAGCTGTTCAATAAATGATGAGTCAGTGGCTGGGAAACAGCAGATATGGCAGACGGTGTGAAGAGTGTAAATTATGAAAGTCATGGCTTCTGGGCGTCACACTGCAGCACCGAACATGTACTGACTGCTTCTACCGATGCTCAAATGTCATAAAGAAAGAATAGTTGTGCTTTAACTGAAAAACAAAGGATTGTTTTGGGCCACGTGGAGCAGCAGAAACACGCCATCCACACAACACCGGCATCACTTCTCAAGCTGACAAGATGAATTTATGTCCAGCAGATACGAAGAAACCTCAGGATTAAGTTTTTACTCCACATGAGAGTTTGAGCAGCGTCGTAGGTGAGCTGGTGTGCTCGAGCTTCACTGATCTGTAGAGGGCGGTGAAGAGTTAAATCTAAGACATTTGAAGGCAGTTTATTTTAATGGCGGATAGGTAACTTTGATGCACAGAAATGAGTTTTCAGTGATTAAATCCACATTTAGCCTCCTCCTTGCTCTGTTAGTGGGTCAATGGATTGTTTAGCTGCTGAATCCTTTACTGCTGGACGCTGCCTGGTGGGAGCAGCTCTGGAGAACTGCAAAGTCCGGATAGAATCATCAGTACAAGCGACCCCTCAGGCATACAAGTGGTCCGATGTTAGTATAAAAATATAGATTATAGTCGCTCTAAACCTCACCTGAGGCATGTAAAAATGTTTTCAACATTACCTACGTTGGTTAAATTCTCTCCATTTTGTTTACCTTGGATTTGTACCAGTCCTCTGACTCCTGGATGTTCTTGGAGGCCAGGTTCTCGTACTGCAGACGGACGTCCCTCAGGGCCGCCGTCAGGTCGGGCTTAGCCATCTCCATGTCCACCTGCACATGCTGCTGCTGCTGGATCTGGCTCTGCAGCTCCAGCATCTCCTGCAACACAATCGGCAGAGTCAGCGGGCAGGAATAGCGCAGACTTTGATGTTTAATGTCCTCTTGTGTACTCAAAAAAAAAAAGAAAAGGCTCTGGTGAACTAAATCCTACTAATTTAGAACTTGAGAAGATTATCAAATGTTTCAAATGATTTGGCCCAGTTCTCTCAGGGTGCCTTTCACTGGACGGCCTGTGCATGTGCTGTGTTTCTGTAACAGAGGGATTCAGCTCTGGCCACAGAAACAGGCAGCTTACCTCATCGTGCAGCTTCTTGAGGAAGTTGATTTCCTCCTGGAGTGACTCTACCTTCCGCTCCAGGTCCAGTCTGGCGAGGGCAGCGTTGTCCACGTCCTGCGCCGTAACAACGGACTCTTAATAAGGTGACTTGTGAAGGTGACATGAATTATGCATAGTGTGTTTGCTGACACAGAATAAACGCTGTAAAGAGCCCTCACACAACGCCCACCGACACAAATGACCCACTGTGTCGTCGGGCAAGGTCGCAAACACATGCGTCCAATAAAAATCAGGCACATGACACGTGTCACTGCAGATGTTGGTAGCCGACCAGTGGACGCTGTCTTGTGAGTTTCACACCGTGCAGGCAAAAGGTGGAAAGTAACTAAGTACATTTACCCAAGGACTGCTTCAGGTCCTTTATTTGAGTGTTTCTGTTGCATCCTCACAGAGAGGCTTTGTGCTTTTTCTCATCCACGTTTCTTTAATATTAAAGGTTGCCAATCATTTTTCAGGTTAAAATATTACAAGCAAAACAACTGATGACCTCATAAAACCTGATGTATTCCCATGAAGCTTCCTGCACAGACAGATTACAGCATGAGGTCACAGCATGGAGTGTAAACGGTGAATAGGACGGAGTTGGTCTAATGGAGCCTCACTGAACAAGAAAACAAGGAAACTAAACTCTGTATGTCTGCCCTGTCTTATCTGTGGTAACCGGTTGCACATAATTCAGTCTGGGTTTTCTCTTCCTGTCTGACTCGGTAAAAAAAAAAAAACCTAAAAAGTGCAGCAGAGCAGCCCAAAGCAAAGACATCCTTCATCTCATGTGTTTTTTCCCCGCTGCTTGTTCTGGTAGAAATTCACTCTTCTGCTTCTAATTTGGGTGGAACACGCCAAAACGTCCCATTGTTCCAGAACCGACGTGCTCCAGTCGGTTGTATTGTTGCTGACCCACCGTGGCACCACACCGCTGCGCTTTGTTCGGGCGTTGGCAGGCCGGTAATTGAGGTATCAGCAAGTGAAGCAGCTTTGCCCCTGCGCTAATGCCACAAACAAAGTGTGCTATTCAGCAGGGTTTCCCAAACAGGCCCAAGGCTGGAAGAGCGACTGTCTGCCTGACTGAGCCGGACCCGGCTGCTGGCCCACATAGTTGACTGAGTGCCACCAGAGCAGCTTCCTTCCTGCCGCCCGGACAGCCCAGGTCACCATCACTGCACCGGGTTGGTAACTTATAGCTCAACAAAAGTGTCATTTATTCTTTTCTCTAAGTCTAATTCTAAAACAATGGCACATCAGTCTCCGGTTCTGGTGCCGTGACACCCGTTTGAAACTATTCGCACGACTCACCGTCTCCTCATTAGAAACCCAGTGGAAGGGAACAATCTGTGACAGAACCATAACGAGTGAGATGGTGATGTGCTGATGTTCTCTCACAGCGAGACGGCCGGATCACATGGGGGCTTGTCTTCTCGCTCTGATAACCACATTGGACCGGTGCTGTTGTGTCCAGCTCATTCACTGTGAGCGCTCAGACTCACAGAGACCTCCTCTCACTGCAGGCCTCATTTAACAGCTTGGCCTTTTGTACCCGACCAGGGCCGCTGCTGCCTCACAGCTATTTTGGATCATGGCTAGAATCTGCTGTTGTGCCATCAGAAGGGTGCATTCCTGCCTGTGCAGCTAATGGGCAATAATTAGGTAGAGATCACAGAGAGGAGGCGAGGGACAGTCCCACCTCAGAGCTGCTGGGCTCTTCTTCTCTGAGGCTAATCTCATTTCTTTAATATCATTTTGGGAGTTTAAACCCTTATTTAACCAGCAGCAGCTGAGTAGGTGGGGCGGCACAGGGCTCAGGAGCCACCAGCATCCCAAAGGCAGCGACTTTTATCATCATCATCATCATCATCATCATCACCATCATCATCACCATCATCATCACCATCATCATCACCATCATCATACTGTACCTGTCTAAAGCTCTGCATGTTTGCCTCAGCCTCCTCCCGCTGGGAAATCTCATCCTGCAACCTGCACACACAGACAAAAGCGAGATTTCTGTTTTAGCTGGTACCGGGACATTCCCCGCTCAACAACAACAACAACACGCATCTCTTTGCCACTTTACGCACGAAAAACTTTTTGCGCATCGCCTGGCAGCCGCTCATGGCGGCACAGCGGCCAGAGGCGAGCCTGTGTGGAGGGAGGGGGTTATGGCGAACAGAGGAAAATGCACAGACTGCTAAAATCTGGACACACGGAGCTGAGAACAGAGCCGTGCCACGCCTCCTACTTCTCTCTCAGCCGGTCGATGTCGTCGGCCAGGTTGTCCCGGTGGACCTCCACCCGGGCCTTCTCGTTGCTCAGCTGGTCCACCTGGCGCCGCAGCTCCCGCATCTCGTCTTCGTACAGATCTCCGACCCGGGACGTGCCTTTGCCCCGCAGCTGCTCCAGCTCGGCCAGCAGGATCTTGTTCTGCTGCTCCAGGAAGCGAACCTTTTCGATGTAGCTGGCGAAGCGGTCGTTGAGCGACTGCATCTGCGCCTTCTCGTTAGTGCGGTTCGTGATGAACTCGGTGTTGATGGCGTCGGACAGGGAGAAGTCCAAGTTCTCGGAGGCCAGCCGGGGCATGGCTGCGCTGCTCCGGAGCCGCTGGGTCTTGGTTGCGTAGATGGCCGGAGCCGCGGAGAGCCCGTAGGACAGCCGGGAGGAGCGCACCGGGCTGGAGAACTGGCGGCTGGTGTAGCTGGACTTGACTCTGTCCCCGCCGAACAGCTTCTTGTAGGAGGAATGTGGAGGTGGTCTATAGGAGGACATCATGCTGGGATCTTTTCAGGCAGTCAGCGATAAGAAGAGCGATGTGGCCGGTGAAGGACTGCTCCTGTCTTCGCAGCATCAGCGGAGTGCGCCTGGGAAGGCGTTCCCTGAACCATCACTCATTTATAGTCTCCTCCTCATGCAAATAACTCCACGGTGACTTGAGCGACACGCCGAGAACCCAATCACAAAGTAGAACCCACACACGCCTCATAGATCCAGATCTTGGATCAATATTTAGTCCAGCTGTTGGTCACAGTGTAGCATGAACATGTGACTTCTATTACTAATAACAGTCCTGTGTGAGCAAGACATGGCTGTGAGCTGAGAGCTGCATCTGGAGCTCAGGACAGCATCATAATAATAATAATAATAATAACAATCATAAAGTTCTGGTGCAGAGAAACACCTCATTCTTATTATAGCCAGATGAAGCAGTGACATTTGTGTTGCCCTGACAGAGGAGATGTGTTTTCTGCCCGTCAGACTTCCTCCTCACGTCTCACACCTTGTGATCTTCAGCCAAGTTGGTTCTGTTGCCGCCCTCTCAGGGGGAACACACTTTTTCAGGGCAGTTTTTATGCAGCACAAGACTGAATCTTCATCCAACCACGTTAACGGCGTCCATCAGTTCATTAGTGCACGTGTAAGCGAGTGTGTTTCTCAGGGTTTACTGTGATGTGGGAACAGAGAAGCACAGAAGGAGCCAGTCAGCAGCTCCACAGATGTTAATTAGGTTTAAAGGACATCACACGTCTCTCATGATCTGACACGCTGACCCTCAGAGGAAAACAGGGAACGACAAAGTCCGTGCAGCAGCAGCAGCAGCATGTGTCGACAGGTTCGCCGTCAACCTTCTCCTCGGATTGACCTGCAGCACATAATAATCAGACACAGCAGCAGAGAGGATCTTTCCAGCTCTCTCCTCCCAGCATGCAGAGCCGTCAGTGCTGCAGTGCTGCTGACTGGCTGAGACTGTGTGATGGTGAAGCAGAGCTGAGCCAGTGACACCCTACACCTCCGAGCACGCTGCACCGGCGCTGCTCTGAAACAGCAGGACCAGAAGGAGTGGTGAAGGGAGATCTGTTGTAGCTGTGTGATGTTTGTTCACTAGATCACAGTCTGAACGCACAAATATTTCTTTCACAGAGGTTTTCACATCGTTGCCCGGCGGGTGAGGGCGGCTGCAGGGGCTGGAGGTTGGCACGCTGCCCCTGAGATGTGACTGTGCAGAGACGAGGCGTTCGAGGCCAGAGACAGAGATGCAGTTTTAAACAACAAACTTAAGCAAAGTGAAGCTCCGTGTCAGGGTTTGGGTTGGATCTTTACTGTACTGTACTGAACCCAGTTGTTCTCAGTCGTATTCAGATCAATGAACAAAAGAACAAAGTGTAAAAAAGCATGAAATGGAAATAACTGAAGCAGAAGTCGTATAAAATTGTGCCTCGTGCCTCCAGGAACTGGAGATGACCAGGATATGAAAGGTCCATGACTGAAGGAGAGCTGTAGCTTCATTATTCTTTTCATAAAGCAATTCTTTGAGTGTGCAAAAGCCACAAACATTTAGTCTTTGAAGGTAATCTGGATACGAATCTGTGAACCTTGAGGCTGAATAATCCAGAGACGTGTTGTGACAAGAAAAGTAAAAAGTCTGTGAAAGCAAGAGATTAAAGAAGCTCTGATTCCTAGTGTGTGGATCAAGAACTGGCAAGAAGAAGCAGTGACATGTTTGTATTTGCTATTCTTTAATTTATCTGGATTACCTGGAGTATCTTGAAGCAGCACTTTACCGATCTGTGGATTATGTTTGATAAACTGATAATCTGTGTAACATCTCCAGACTGACTCTAACTGTGAATGTAAACATGCAGTAGTTCCCTCTGAAGTTCAGTCATGTGGAAGAATAACATGGAAATACTTGTATGTTTAAACAGAGCTGCAGTTAATGCACAGCTACACTCTAAATAAAGCTCGCCTCGTGAGTTAATAAAATCATGTTCAAACAAGGAGCCACACTGAGTTAAATTACATCAAGTTGTGGGAACAGGTCCCTTAAAACACTTTCAGGAATAAACTCCAGCAGCAGTGATGTAAATGTCCTGTGTTGACATTATGCTTAATTCAAAGATAAAATAAGTAAATGTGCTTAAAGTATGAAGTGAAGGGATTCATATAATGTATTATGTTACAGGTAATAGTTACCAACACGTTTATATGGAGTTTATTTTCTTTGTATTTACATAAAGTAGCTGTAAATGTAAACCCTGCAGTACGGTGTGGTCACACTGAACGGGTGTTTAACACATCATGAAGGGCTTTAACGCCACTCAGCTCTCCACGTTTCTCCGTCCTGAACATAAATGAGGAGTTTAAACTGAATCCACCTTTTTATAGCCAAACCTGAGCAGCTCACTGGACTTCTCTGAGAAACTAATCCAGCATCACATTCAGCCACTAAAACTAATGTTTCTGTTCAGGAATGTGAGTAAATAATCTGACATCTGAATCAAGAAATAATAATAATGAGCTTTAATGTTTTGTTTTTTTTTTAGGTTTTTTTGTAAACAGTAAATTTGAAAATTCACAGATAACAATACTAATTATTAGAAAATAAGAAATGATTACTTTTTGGCAGCTGGGGCACAAACCTAGTACATTTGTTAAGCGCTGTAAACTGAATAAGGAGGAGCAAAGTGAGCAGACTAAAGCTGAAACGATGGAGGCTGGTGGCCCTGGAGGGAGCAAACCGTGAACCCCATCACTGAACCCGGCTCTGGACATTCACATGATAAACAGAGGCAAGGGGGGGGCATAAAAATTCCAGCTCCGGGGCCCATTATGATCCCGCTCTGCCGGTGTTGGCCACAGAGACGGACAGAGGAGGCCGGGATTGTCACAGACAGAGCAGGGATTGTGTATTGCTGATCTGTCACCTAACTGCAGCAGCAGAATGCAGACAGTAGGCCCGAATTATTGTCTGGACCCCGGTGCTGGCCAGCCGCACACTTTGGGCCAAATAGCTCCCATTCTTGGCCATGTTTGGAATCTATCATTGGGTGCTTTTTTTTCTTTTTTCATTTCTGTTGCTGAGATTCCTGTTGTCTCCAAAGTTACGGCGCTGCAGGGGAGCTAATTAAAGCGAGATTCAAATAAAACTGGAGGCGTCTGCCCGCAACAGGACGGGCAAACAGATAACTTACGTCTTGTTTCAGGGTGTCATCGCTTCAGAACCGCAGGCGCTGGGCAGCAAAAAGGCGCCTTTTGTTTCATCTCCCATGATGGTGAATCACCAACCGGTAGCCATGGCGATCGTCCCCGATATTATTTGCCAGAGTTGAAACTGAGACAGAGGCTGATTCAGAGGGACAATGGTGATGTGTTTTATTCATAAAGAGCCGTAATTTGTGTTTGTATTGAGCAGTTTGCAGTTTTTTATTTATTATGTTTTTGCTGGTCTGTTTTTCTTGGTCCGGTGAACCGGTCGGCCTCCTCTGAGTGGTGACGGAGCAGATTTATTGGAGGGAGTGTCGCAGCGCAATGTGTCGGTGGGTGCACGGAGAGTAGAGCGAAATAAATCTGAAGGTTAGAAAGAAAGGCTGCAAATCCACATCGGAGGCCCCAGCGAGCTTTTGTCAAGTCGCTGTGTGACCCTGAGGTCAGCGGCGGGGAGCAGCAGAGTACATCCATGTACCTACTCCTCACTGCACCGGGTTGACTTGTTCTACATCAAAGCATTGGTCAAGATTCATCCAGAAGCTCCCAGCTTGTGGCTTGTGACAAACAATAGGTCACATTGGTTTTTATCTTGTACTCGCTCCCTTTAGGCAGTATTGTGACAGCATATGCAGATGACACCCAAACCTGAGCAGCTCACTGGGCTTCTCTGAGGAGTCAGAAACTAACCAAGCATCACATTCAGCCACTAAAACTAATGTTTCTGTTCAGGAATGTGAGTAAATAACTAGAATCTGACATCTGGATCAAGTAATAATAATAATGAGCTTTACTGATTTTTCATGTTTTTTTGTAAAACAGTGAATTAGAGAACTCGTGGATAATAATAATAATTATATTTTATCATTAAAAACATGATTCTGGTTAAAGATCTTCTACATGCTGGTGTATGAACCATTACAGAGACATGAGAGATGATTGTGGTGATTAGCAATGCTGTTAATTTAGGGCATAAACCTGACGTTGGGTGGACGTCTAACACATCTGGAGACCTGGATGACATGTTGTTTTCTTTGTTTAAATTCAGACAAAGCTGTAGAAACACCTCAGAAACCATCTAAGCAGACAGTTCCTTTGGATGGCGTTGCTTTGGCCTGCAGCTCTACTGTGACACATAAAACAAGTCTCTACAGGATGACCTTTATCGACCTGTTGTCATTATTAGGAGCCTCCTGTTTGATATGGAGGTCCATGCATCTGCACCTTCCAGGATGGACTAATGTCGTACTATCAGGGTGTCTCAAGAACTTCCAGCTGATCCAAACAGGATCATATTTCTGTATCAGTGTTTCTGGCTTCCTGTAAAATCCAGAGTAGAACTTAAAATCCTCCACCTCACATTCAAAGCTCCTAATGACCCAGATCTGTTGTATCGTACCGTATCATCCTAACAGAGCCTCCAGCGATCAGATGAGATCTCAGTCAGTTGAAAGGCTTCACAACTTTCTTTCTTTCTTTTTTTTAATGAAGCAAGCAATTTAAAATTATTTCTAGTTTGTGCAACTCATTAATCATCCCACGAGCCCTCAGATTTAGAACGCCCTGCTGAATTACATATAAACTATAATGTTTGTTATAGATTACTGTCATTTATTAATCCAGTATCTTCACTGCACATCTTTTAATACTTTAACTTCTCCTCGACTGATCTTGAACGCACGACTTTTTCTTGTGTGTTCATTAGTGGTTATCTGGAGGTGCTTCCGTTTCCCAACTTGAAGAGTTTTTCTTAAGCACACAGGAGCTTTTTTCTGTCGGCTGTAAGCAAAACGAGCCGAGCAGAGCCGGGCGTCGGAGAGCGGAGCTTCCACTGGATACCTCTGGACCACAGTAACAACAGAGGAATTAGACTGCAGGGGCTGTTTTCCACATCTCCATAGTGACTGACAAAACCCTTGGAAAGCATCCAGAGCGGTCACTCAGTAAAGTCCTCTCTCTCTCCGTCTCTTTGTCTCGTTCGTTCTTTGTCTCCGGGCCTGTGTGTGTTTTCAGGGAGTGATTGGGTCGGACAGGGGAAACACCCCCCACACACACCAACAGCAGAAAAACCCTCATGTGTAACTTGTCAGATCATAAAGTTGTCCAAATAAATCACCCCCATCCAAATTAGCACCTGCTGTCACCCGGCCATATTTATTTCAAGGATAATATCCTGCGGTTGCACATATTTCCTGCCGGTCTGTCGCAGCCGATCGCGTCAAGTGTCACTTGCATATGCCTCCGTGCATCGGGGGGCGCCGGTGACTGACAGCTGCAGATGACACTCAGGCTCTGAGGAGAGTGAGACGAGTCCTGCTCGTGTGGACAGCACGCAAGCATCCGCTCACAGAAAGCATTCACTCCTCACTATAAGAAGCTTGTGTCCTGAGTCAGAACGATCTCGTCCTCTTGGACTCCTTGAGGTGATTATTTGGGGAGTTTGGATAAAAAGAGCGAGTCTGTTCCGAGTCCTCGAGTTCCCAGAATAAACTAAGTATTGGAAGCCCAGGGCTCATTCTAGACTCACATGCTCCACTTAGTTAATAACCTCATGAAAGTCAAATGCCACCAGAGTCCAGAGCCGCTTCCAGGCGATGATGTTCACCAGCTCGTACCTTCAGCCCTGAATGCAATGTTTAGGAGATACGGCTGCTGATGGGCTGTTCTTCCTATGACTCGGCTTTAATGGTGATTTTCAAGAGAATAAAGCAGCTCAAGCGAGTGTTTCTGCTGCACAACAATGACAAAGACGTCCACTGACTGACTGGGTGAATGACTGATGGATGGAGTGACTGACACCACGCTTTGCTCTTTGAGGTTTGTCTCTGAAACTATTTGTAAACTGCATGAATCACGTGAACTCTACTGCACATCTGTGAGAATATAGACAATAGTGCAACATGCAGGCCCGACAGGAGTGTTGAAATAAGAAACGAGGACTCTTCCACGTTTTTTCTGCCCTGCTTATCGTCAGAATTTCAGATGTTCATGGAGGAGCTGCAGAATGTCCAACCAGAGACTGCATGTGGTAGTTTTAAGTAGATGGTGCTCAATAAAACCTGCACAAGATTTATTTATTTTGGGTTTTTTTTCTCCACCTGGGGGCCAAAGAATAAAAGCTGAGAAGGCCTGATGTTTTTATGACTTCTGATGACCTTGTAGAAAACCTCAGTGGAGCTTAGTTCAGACAGACATGGAGTCATGAGGCCCTTTTCTGTCCAATCGGTCCCTCCTTCAGTCCAGCCCGCCCACCGAGCTGCTTTATGACCGAGCCAGCCTTCATTCATTCATTCATTCATCCATTCATTCTGCTCCACCAGCCTCTACAGTTCATCTCCTCTTCAGAGGTCTCTCATGCAGGCTATAAAACTCAGTGTTTGGAGATTAGTTCCTACCTTCTGACTGTGTGTCCAGATCCGTCTTTAAAGTAGAACCGCAGCGTTTAAATCAAAGCGGACCGGAAGTTGGCGATCACGTGTCCTGAATCTCTTCCATCCTCCCCAGACAATTATAAAAATCCAGTAAGAGCTTCTAGGAGTCAAATCCAACCTCCAATCACAAACTTCTGATCTGCTTCAGCTACTTTCAGTTCAGAACTTTAAATCCACATCAGAAAAAGTCCCAGCTCCACCCACCCAGTCGGTCCACCGGATCCAGCTCCTCCAGGAACATCTGAGATTTAACCCCCTTCATCCTGCTCCAGCTCTGGAAGTCCTCCTCATGTCTCCTCACCAGCCTCTCCTCTAAACACCATAAACTCTAATTCAAACCTTTCCTGAGCACCTGCTACCTGTCCTACAACTTCCGGGTTCACGTCCGCTGACTCCGCCCACTACCGTGATGTCATAGCCGATCCACCGGAGCACCGTGACTCGTGCAACTCCAGCGCCCCCTGCTGGTGGCCCTTCTCCTCCAGCCTCACCTCTGTAGCCTCATACTGCAGGTAATGATTTTACTCTGGTTAAGTTCTGTTCAGTTCATCATTCAATTACAATCTGGTTCAACACCTGTTCACCTTCTTCCTCTTCGAGTCTAAAAACTTGTTTTCTGAAGTCCAGTTTCATTTAAAACATTTAGACCCTGCAGGTTCTAGTTTTCTTGGGAAAAGATGTTGTTACCTCCTCTTCAGTGGACCAAAGAAGTTCATCCAGAAGGCAAACATCTCAACACTACACCTTCTTGGTACAAAGTCAGTTCTCACTTGAGAGACACCATCTTGGAGCAGTCCTTCTTCTGGAAGTTCATGTCACCCACTGAGAAGTTCTGTTCCTCCTCTTTAGATAAGCATGAGCAATCCATTGACCTTCCAAAGTATTTTAATATGATTCTAAAAAATTATTATTACATTCATTGCCCGTGCTCATATTCTTTCTGTTCCTTCTCTTCTCTGATTCGGGTCTGGAGTGGTTTACCAATGTGAGCAGAGATGAGCGTCTGTTCCACACAGACTCTGGGAGGTCCTGTCCAGGCCTGGGTTTGCTCACCTCTACCTCCCATGCCAACGCCGTGGTCTCTCCTCTCAGCTACACAACCTGTTCCTTCTGCTCATTCTCTGCAGTGTATGAACAACATCAAATACCGCTCAGAGGTTTATGAGTGGTTCTTATTGTACATAATCTGTGATGGCTCCATATAACTGGAGCACTGTGTCATGTTCATGAAGGTCCTACATGCTAGCACCAGTTTAAAGGATGTGTGTCATGCTTGACGCCACTCATGGTCTCATATCTCACATAACATGTCCTTTGTATCCAGTCACTATGATGGTGACTTGCTAGACGTTCGTCTGTTTGCACTCAGCATGCTGCTGATTCTATACGTTCACATGAAAAGGTCAAACTACTCACATGGATTCAAGGACATGCGACACACTTCCATTTCATTTCAGGGTGACTCTGCTCATCTGTTTCCTTCAGGAGCACAGGTTTGGGGGTTTGTGATCTCAGGTCTGTGTCCTGCTTGCTCAGATTGTTCCAGAGCATCACTCGAGTTAAATCAAGGCCAAACATAAAGTGCATGTCATTCCAAAATAAATGTTTGAACAGATACGGAGCAACATCATCATCCACTTGGAGTCATGTTTGTGTCCATGTGATGAAAGGAAGTCTAAAACTGTTTTGCTCTGTTTTGGTCTCAACCAACTCCTGGGAGACATTTGGTCGACCAGGTTTGTGTAGCTGGTGTATCATCAAAACTAAAGGAAACAGATTATATAATTAATCAGTGATATTTGAAAAGCATCATTCAGCTTTTTTTTATTTATGCATTTTCTTTTCCAAAGTCAATCAACTCTTAATTTTTAATAGGTTTTTAGGAAATGAACACGTATTGCACATTTTGGAAGAATCCAAACAAACAATAAAATAAAAGCAGCACAGGAAATAAAATCTGCTTTCTTTGGCAGATGCAGTCCTTTCTCAGGTGCTTTACATCCAACAACAAAGCGCTGAATAATAACAGTCAGTCCAGTGATGAACAGTCAGGAGCAACCAAACAGTCAAAAACATGCGTCTTGTTTTATTGATATTACGCCACCACATGAGGTCACTGTGTGTAAATGAAGAGTTTTGACGAATTCAAACATAATTAAGAGGCACAACTCCCTTCATTCACAACACATACCTGTAGGTCTGGTGAAGCTGCAAAAAGTTCTTATTCAAGATTGTTTAGGTATAATATCAAAACCTTCTCCAGCTGCACGACAAGAAAACAGTCACAGCCAAGTCCGACAGACCACCATGCACAAGCACGTGTGAAATAAAGCGTCCTGTTTTCATAGGATGGGGCAGTACTGGCCACATCGCACATGCAGCGTTTCCAGGGAGTCCTGTGCTTGCAGTGCATGCCCTCCTCCACTAGATGTCCGTCTTGCCTGAGTCACGGCTGAGGACTCCCCCTCAGGATGCACTTTCCTGTCTGCTATTTTAAACTCAACTGATGCAAACGAAGACAGACTGCCATTTTTACTCGCCCAGGTTTTAGACGTATCAACCGTAGGTGACACCCGGACGCCTCTCCCTTTAAAACTTAGCGAATCCTTTTTCCCACTTTTAACAAAGGAATCCTCCATGAAGGGGTCCGAATCGCTTCCGTGTGGCATGTTGTAGTAGGTGCACCTCGGGGTTTGAGGCTTTGCCATCTCCTCGAGCTCTGACGAGGAGATGGCTGCGAGGGGGCTGTGCTGGGCTTTGCTGTGCACCGGGGAGTCCTCACCGTTGTTCTCCTGACCGGTGTCCACGGATGTGCTGTCCAAATTACCGTACATGCCCAGGGAGACCGGTGGAGACTTCCTGATGAGATGGTTCTCCTTTAGGAGCCATCTGCCTTGATCAATCAAAACCCCATCAGCTGGGTTTGGGGCTAAAGCAGCACCCTGTGTGGCTTCGACGTCTGTTTTAAAAGAGCTCGCAGCACTGAAGTACGACAGATCCTCACCCGAGGCCTTCGTGGCTGAGTCACTTGAAGAAAAACTTCCTGCACCGTTTATCTGGGAGCTGTTCAGGGCTTCTGAGTTACTTGCAACGGACAGTTTAGTGTTGGCCTGCTGGGCATCTGCTCTCTGGGTCCTGTGTGCTGGATGTCTGTGGGCAGGAGAAGCTTTCTCTGAAGCCTCCTCTCCGCTATCTGACACAATATCTACAGACTCCTGAGTTTTATATCCGCCGCTCTCCGATGTTTCTGGTCTGTAATCGGACAAATCTGACGTACTCGGGCTTGGGAGACGTTTTAAACCGTACGAACTGTCCTTTCTAGTTTGTGGGACCACAGTGAGCGTCGTCTGTGTCACTCGAGCATTGTCAGGCTCTATCCTGATGTTGCCCTGAGTGTCGTACGTGAACACGAGGGAGGAGGACTGAAGGGCGTAGTTCACAAAGTCAAGTAGTTCCTGTGATATCTCCACCGGATGGGCTACGCCGCTGCTTCCCTCCTCGCAGCGCTCTCCGGCCTCGTCCGTCTCGTGAGCGGTGTCTGTCCCGTTGCCTTTGTCATCCTCACACTGGCCCTCGGAGGAACATCTGGTTGGTGATTCAGTGATTTGTTGTGAATTTGCCTTTTCACTGCTGCTGCCACGCTGCTGCAGATCGGCCGCCTCTTCCGGCACGCTCCTACCATCCTCATCATCAGCAAAACTATCCACACCTTCAGCATCATGTCCTTCCTCTGCCTCGTGCTTTGACTGTTCCTCCACCTGGTCTACTTCCTCATCAAACTCTCCTTCTTCATCATCTCTCTCTCCTTCATCTACACTCTGCACAGCTTCTTCAGCCTCTAATTCCTCTGCAGCTTCTTCTGCTGCAGATTCAGCTGCTGGGTTCCGGCTATCACCAGCTTCATCACACTTTTCTACTTCTTCTACATCCTTGTCACATTCTTCCTCTTCCTCACCTGTGATCACCTTCACTCTACTTTCTTCTGTATTGTTGACCTCAACATCGTCATCCTCCTCCTCCTCCTCTTCCTGTTCCTCCTCTTGTTCTCTCTCTTCCTCCTTCTCCTCCTCTTCTTCCTCCTCTTGTTCTCTCTCTTCCTCCTTCTCCTCCTCTTCCTCCTCCTCTTCACTAACCACTTCTGTCACCTGCTCTTTTTCTTCTTCTTTTCCCTCAACATCTTCTACATCTTCCTCATCGCTCTCTTCGATAACTACCTCCATCTCTTCTTCCTCTTCTGCCTCCTCATTGACCTCCTCCTCTACATCTTTAACAGTATCTGCGTACATA